CGACAGACCCCAGTGTGTGATGCTCCACTCCCTGTGTCCATGTGTTCTCATTGTTCAACACCCACCTATGAGTGAGAACATGCAGTGTTTGATTTTCTGTTCTTGTGTCAGTTTGCTCAGAATGATGGTTTCCAGGTTCATCCATGTCCCTACAAAGGACACGAACTCATCGTTTTTGATGGCTGCATAATATTCCATGATGTATATGTGCCACATTTTCCCTGTCCAATCTATCATCGATGGGCAGTTGGGTTGGTTCCAGGTCTTTGCTATTGTAAACAGTGCTCAATTCTGATTTATTTATTTCTTTTGTTTTTTTTTAAGAGTTGCATATTTTACTTTATTTTTATTAAATTAAAAGCTACAGTCTGGCAGCGATTCCAGAACAGGTTAAGGAGGTTCCTCATAGGGGTCAGAGAAGAGTGGAGAAAGAGACTAAAAATATGGAACCCGAGCCGGGCGCGGTGGATCACGCGGTCAAGAGATCGAGACCATCCTGGTCAACATGGTGAAACCCCGTCTCTACTAAAAATAGAAAAAATTAGCTGGGCATGGTGGCACGTGCCTGTAATCCCAGCTAGGCTGAGGCAGGAGAATTGCTTGAACCCAGGAGGCAGAGGTTGCGGTGAGCCGAGATCGCTCCATTGCACTCCAGCCTGGGTAACAAGAGCAAAACTCCGTCTCAAAAAAAAAAAATATGAACGCTTCACGAATTTGTGTGTCATCCTTGCGCAGGGGCCATGCTAATCTTCTGTGTATCATTCCAATTTTAGTATATATGCTGCCAAAGCGAGCACTCAATTCTGATTTCTAACTTGATTGCAGTGTGGTCTGAGAGACTGTTTGTTATGATTTCCGTTCTTTTGCATTTGCTGAGGAGTGATTTATTTCCGATTATGTGGTCAATTTTAGAGTAGGTGTGATGTGCTGAGAAGAATGTGTATTCTGTGGATTTGGGGTGGAGAGTTCTGTAAATGTCTATTAGGTTTGCTTGGTCCAGGTCTGAGTTCAAGTCCTAGATATCTTTGTTAATTTTCTATCTCGTTGATCTGTCTAATATTGACAATAGGATGTTAAAAGTCTCCCACTATTATTGTGTGGGAGTCTAAGTCTCTTTGTAAGTCATTAAGAACTTGCTTTATGTATCTGGGTGCTCCTGTATTGGGTGCATATATATTTAGCATCGTTAGCTCTTGTTGCACTGATCCTTTTACCATTATGTAATGTCCTTCTTTGTCTCTTTTGATGTTTGTTGGTTTAAAGTCTATTGTATCAGAGACGAGAATTGCAACTTCTGCTTTTTTTTTTGCTTTCCATTTGCTTGGTAAATCTTCCTCCATCCCTTTATTTTAGCTTTTGTGTATCCTTGCATGTGAGATGGGTTTCGGCTTTTTATCCAATTTGCCAGTCTGTGTCTTTTGATTGGGGCGTTTAGTTCATTTACATTTAGGGTTAATATTGTTATGTCTGAATTTCATCCTGCCATTTTGATGCTAGCTGGCTGTTTTGCCCGTTAGTTGATGCAGTTTCTTCATCGTGTCGATGCTCTTTACCATTTGGTATGTTTTTGGAGTGGCTGGTACTGGTTGTTACTTTCTATGTTTAGTGCCTCTTTCAGGAGCTCTTGTAAAGCAGGCCTGGTGGTGATGAAATCTTGGAGTACTTGCTTGTTCATAAAGGATTTTATTTTTCCTTCACTTATGAAGCTTAGTTTGGCTGGATATGAAATTCTGGGTTGAAAGTTCTTTTCTGGGGCCGGGCGCGGTGGCTCAAGCCTGTAATCCCAGCACTTTGGGAGGCCGAGGCGGGTGGATCACGAGGTCGAGAGATCGAGACCATCCTGGTCAACATGGTGAAACCCCGTCTCTACTAAAAATACAAAAAACTAGCTGGGCGTGGTGGCGCATGCCTGTAATCCCAGCTACTCAGGAGGCTGAGGCAGGAGAATTGCCTGAGCCCAGGAGGCGGAGGTTGCGGTGAGCCAAGATCGCGCCATTGCACTCCAGCCTGGGTAACAAGAGCGAAACTCCGTCTCAAAAAAAAAAAAAAAAAAAAAGAAAGTTCTTTTCTTTAAGGATGTTGAATATGGGCCCCCACTCTCTTCTGGCTTGTAGGGTTTCTGCTGAGAGATCTGCTGTGAGTCTGATGGCCTTCCCTTTGTGGGTAACCAACCCTTTCTCTCTGGCTGCCCTTAGCATTTTCTCCTTCATTTCAACCCTGGTGAATCTGACAATCATGTGCCTTGGGGTTGCTCTTCTTGAGCAATATCTTTGTGGTGGTCTCTGTATTTCCTGGACTTGAATATTGGCCTGCCTTGCTAGGTTGGGGAAGTTTTCCTGGATAATATCCTAAAGAGTATTTTCCAGCTTGGATTCATTCTCTCCGTCACGTTCAGGTATACCTATCAAACGTAGATTAGGTCTTTTCACATTGTCCCATATTTTTTGGAGACTTTGTTCATTCCTTTTTACCCTTTTTTCTCTAATCTTGCCTTCTTGTTTTAATTCATTGAGTTGATCTTTGACCTCTGATATCTTTTCTTCTGCTTGGTCAATTTGGCTGTTGAAACTTGTGTATGCTTTGCGAAGTTCTCGTGTTGTTTTTCAGCTCCATCAATTCACTTATATTCCTAAGTTGTTTATTCTCATTAGCATTTCATCAAATCTTTTTTCAGCATTCTTAGTTTGTTTGCATTGGGTTAGAACATGTTCTTTTAGCTCAGAGAAGTTTCTTATTGCCCACCTTCTGTAGCCTGATTCTGCCAATTCATGACACTCATTCTCCATCCAGCCTTGTTCCCTTGCTGGTGCGTAGTTGTGATCCCTTGTAGAAGGAGAGGCGTTCTGGTTTCGGGTGTTTTCATCCTTTTTGTGCTGGTTTCTTCCCATCTTTGTGGATTTATCCACCTGTCATCTTTGTAGTTGTTGACTTTCAGATTGGGTCTCTGAGTGGACGTCCAGTTTGTTGATGATGAAGTTATTTCTCTCTGTTTCTTAGTTTTCCTTCTAACATTCAGGCCCCTCTGCTGTAGGATTGCTGAAGTCCACTCCAGGCCCTGCTTGCCTGGGGATCACCTGCAGCAGCTGCAGAACAGTAAGGGTTGCTGCCAGTTTCTTCTTCTGCTATCTTTGTCCCAGAAGGATACCCACCAGATGTCAGCCTGAGCTCTCCTTTATGAGATGACTCTTTGGATATACAGGGGTCAGGGAGCTGCTTGAGGAGACAGTCTGTCCTTTATAGGAGCTCAAATGCTGAGCTGTGAGCTTTTTTGTTCATTCAGAGCTGCTGGGCAAGTACGTTCAAGTCTGCTGCAGCAGAACTCATAAACCGCCTTTATTTCCCCAGGTGCTCTGTCCCTGGGAGTTAGGGCTTTATTTAGGAGTTTCTGTTGTGCTGCTGCCTTTTTTCAGGGCTGCCCTGCCCAGCAAGGAGGCAGCCTAGTCACTGTCTGCCTGCAGAGGCTTTGCTGAGCTGCTGTGGGCTCTGCCCAGCTGCCGTGTGAACCTGCAGTCCTGTTTATACGGGTATAGTTAGAACTGCCTCGGCAATGGCAGCCCACCTCTATAATGGCCGACTCTCTCTGTAATGGCAGGCTGCCTCAGCAATGGCGAGCTGCCTCAGTAATGGCAAACTACCTCCGTAGTGGTGGACTGCCTTGGTAATGGCGGACACCCCTCCCCCGCAGAGCTGGACTGTCCAGGATTCAGCTATGCATACTGTGAAACTCTCAATCCAGAGTGTTTCTGATTGCTGTTTTTTTGTAGGGGTGGAACCAGCCGAGCCTGATGACTTGGCTTCCTGCCTCAGAGCCCTCTTTTTTTTTTTTTTTTTTTAAAGTTCCAGTCGCCTGTTGAAAAGGCGCTGGGATCTGTGTGATTTCCCATTCGGTGACTCACTGCACCAGCTGAAACAGCCGTGCTGAGATTTGTGGTGCTTTTTTGCCTAGGAGTCTTTTGGCCTGGCTCCCTGTTTCAGTCCCCTTTTTTATCAGTTGAATGGGTGACTCTGTCTCCCAGGACCTCCAATCGCCAGCTAAAACAGCGCCCAGACCCATGTATTTTGTACAGAGAACCGCCGCGCTGGGGTGCTGGCAAAACAGCTGCACTGGTGACCCGTGGGGCTCCTCCACCTGGGAATCTCCTGGTCTGTGGGCAATAAAAATCCATCTGAAAATGCGGTGTCCACTCACACTGTGCTTTCCCTGGGAGCTACAATCCCGAGCGGCTCCTAATCAGCCATCTTGGATCTATCGGCAATTTTTATTTATTTATTTATACATTTTTTTGAAATGGAGCCTTGCTCTGTCACCCAGGCTGGAGTGCACTGGTGCTATCTTGGTTCACTGCCACCTCTGCCTCCCAGGTTCAACCGATTCGATTCTCTTGCCTCAGCCTCCCAAGTAGCTGGTATTACAGGCATCCGCCACCACACCTGGCTAATTTTTGTATTTTTAGTAGAGATGGGGTTTCACCATGTTGGCCAGGCTGATCTTGAATTCCTGACCTCAGGTGATCCACCCGCCTTGGCCTCCCAAATTGCTGGGATTACAGGTATGAGCCTTTGCACTTGGCTGACTCGCTAATCTTTTAAAAAATTTTTAGAGGCAGGGCCTTGCTATGTTGCCCAGGCCGATCTCGAATTCTTATCCTCAAGCGATCCTCCCACTTCACCCTCCCAAAGTGGCACTGAGCCATTGTGCCTGACCTGAAGTAATAATACCTCAAAATATTTTTGGTATGGTGGCTTCTTGGCCTTGATTATCTTGCTCTGTTTGGCTGGCTTTGCAGAAGGAAGAGAGACCAGAAGAAAAGAGAGGCATTCTAACTTCCCAGGGCATACACTACTGTTAGCAGTCTGACACAGAAAATACTGGTATCACTTCACAGATCTGGAGTCTGCCCAAGCTGTGTCCTCTTGTTTTTTTATAAACTGCTTAAGAAGACTCAAAATGAGGCCAGCAATATAATTCAAGTGCATTAATTTTTCTTTTCACTTTTCAGGCTGGAGTAAAAGGGACATTGGGAAGATTAGTTGGAATTTTTGAGGTAAGTCTGTTAAAATATTTGGTACAAATGATATGTATTAATAACCACACAGAGGCCAGGTGCAGTGGCTCATGCCTATAATCCTAGCACTTTGGGAGGCTGAGGCGGGCAGATCATGAGGTCAAGAGTTTGAGACTAAGCGTGGCCAACATGGTGAAACCCCATCTCTACTAAGAATACAAAAATTAGCCAGGCGTGATGACGCATGCCGGTAATCCCAGTTTTCTCAGGAGGCTGAGCCAGGAGAATCACTTGAACCCAGGAGGCAGAGGTTGCAGTGAACCAAGATTGTGCCACTGCACTCCAGCCTGGGTGACAGAGCAAGACTCTGTTGTGGGAAGAGGGGACCACACAGATATCAACATTGGAAAAATGCCATCTCTGTTTCAGCAAGGTTTTTTTTTTTTTTTTAGTTTTTTTTTTTTTTTTTTTTTTTTTTTTTTTGAGACGGAGTTTCGCCCTTGTTACCCAGGCTGGAGTGCAATGGCGCGATCTCGGCTCACCGCAACCTCCGCCTCCTGGGTTCAGGCAATTCTCCTGCCTCAGCCTCCTGAGTAGCTGGGATTACAGGCACGCGCCACCATGCCCAGCTAATTTTTTGTATTTTTAGCAGAGACGGGGTTTCACCATGTTGACCAGGATGGTCTCGATCTCTCGACCTCGTGATCCACCCGCCTCGGCCTCCCAAAGTGCTGGGATTACAGGCTTGAGCCACCGCGCCCGGCCTTTTTTAGTTATTTTTAACTTTTTGAGACTCACTCTGTCACCCAGGCTGGAGTGGAGTGGAGTGGCACAGTCATAGCTCACTGCAGCCTTGGACTCCTGGGCTCAAAGTAATCTCCTGCTTCAGCCTCCCTAATGTTTTTTAGAGACAGGGTGTTGTTGTGTTGCCCAAGCTAGTCTCTTAACTCCTGGGCTTAACTGATCCTCTTGCCTCAGCCTCCCAAAATGCTGGGATTACAGGGGTGAGCCACCATGCCCAACCTTGGTGAGTTTTTTGTTTTTTTTTTTTTTGAGACGGGGTTTCACCATGTTGTTCAGGCTGGTCTTGAACTCCCAACCTCAGGTGATCCGCCCGGCTTGGCCTCCAAAGTGCTTGGATTACAGGCGTGAGTCACTATGCCCGGCCTCAGTGAGTTTTTTAAAGAAAACAACACCTACAGAGAATAACATGCTTAAAAAAAAAAAAGAAAGAAAGCAAAGAAGAAATCCCATAGTCTCCTCTAAACTACTAGAATTATTTGTAAGTATTATTTTACCCCATTCCTACCTTTCTTCCTCTTCTCTGAAGGTAAGAGGAGAAGTAGCTAAGAGTAGAGAGACAGAAGAAAATTAGAAGACAGGTAACTATAACAAAGGAAAAATGGAGAAATTAGCTGTGATAAAAATTTGAAAGAAGGCAGGGAAAAAAGTAAGAAATAAAGATAAGCAGAGGCTGGGTGCAGTGGCTCATACCTGTAATCCCAGCATTTTGGGAAGCTGAGGCAGGAAAATCACTTGAGGCTAGGAGTTCAGGACCAACCTGAGCAACACAGTGAGTCTCTCTCTCTCTCTCTCTCTCTCTGGACAGGAAGTAAATTTATTGGTTCATATTATGAGGGGGCAGCACAGTGGAAGCCCTCATGAGTGCAGGGCCCACCACTTGTCCAGAGGGCCACGATTGGGGATGTACTTAACCCCACAGCCATCTGGGATGAGCCACTTCTCAGTCACCGTGTCTTCAAATTCATCAGCATTGAACTTGGTGAAGCCCCACCTCTTTAAGATGTGGATCTTCTGGCAGCCAGGGAACTTGAACTTGGCCCTGCACAGGGCCTGAATCACATGCTCCTTGTTCTGCAACTTGGTGCGGATGGACATGATCACTTGGCCAATGTGAACCCTGGACACGGTGCCCTGGGGCTTTTCAAAGGCACCTCGCTTGCTTGTTTGGAGCCTACATTGGGGTAGTGCAAGGTCAGACACATGAACCATATGTCTGGAAGGCCTGTCTCCAAGGTCCCTTAGAGCAACCCATGCAAGAAACAGGCTGCATACGCTACCAAGGAAGCTGCTGTTTGCAGCCATTGCACACTGGGCCCCCATGAGGAAAAAAATGAGACCCTTATCTCTACAAAAAGTTTAAAAAATAAAAATATCAGAAGAAAGGTGTCTGATGGAAAAAAATACATATGTAGGCCGGGCGCGGTGGCTCAAGCCTGTAATCCCAGCACTTTGGGAGGCCGAGGCGGGTGGATCATGAGGTCAAGAGATCGAGACCATCCTGGTCAACGTGGTGAAACCCCGTCTCTACTAAAAATACAAAAAAATTAGCTGGGCATGGTGGCGCGTGCCTATAATCCCAGCTACTCAGGAGGCTGAGGCAGGAGAATTGCCTGAACCCAGGAGGCGGAGGTTGCGGTGAGCCGAGATGGCGCCATTGCACTCCAGCCTGGGTAACAAGAGTGAAACTCTGTCTCAAAAAAAAAAAAAAAAAAAAAAAAATGTAAATTTTTTTTTTTTTTTTTTTTTTTTTTTTAGACAGAGTCTTGTTCTGTTGCCTAGGCTGAAGTGTAGTGTCATGATCTCGGCTCAGCACAGCCACCTCCCAGGTTCAAGTGATTCTCCTGCCTCAGCCTCCCAAGCATCTGGGATTACAGGTACCCACCACTACTTCTGGCTAATTTTTGTATTTTTAGTAGAGATGGGGTTTCACCATGTTGGCCAGGCTGTTCTGGAACTCCTGATCTCAGGTAATTACCCACCTTGGCTTCCCAAAGTGCCGGGATTACAGCCATGAGCCACCAACCCCAGCAATAAATAAATTATTTTTTTAAAGGTTGCTGGGCACTGTGATTTATACCTGTAACCCCAGCATTTTGGGGAGCCAAAGTGGGAGGATCACTTGAGCCTAGGAATTCAAGACCAGCTTGGACAACATGGTGAAATCCTGTCTCTACAAAAAAAATACAAAAATTAGCTGGGTGTGGTGGCTCACTTCTCTAATACCAGCACTTTGGGAGGCTGAGAAGGGCGGATCACTTGAGATCAGGAATTCGAGATCAGCCTGGCCAACATGGTAGAATCTTGTCGCTACTAAAAATAAAAATCTAGCCGGGCATGGTGGTGCGTGCCTATAGTCCCAGCTAGTCCGGAAGCTGAGGCAGGCAAATGGCTGGAGCCCAGGAGGCAGAGGTTGCAGTGAGCCAAGATCATGCCACTGTACTCCAGCCTCTGTAACAGACCGAGACTCTGTCTCAAAAAAAAAAAAAATTGTCTGGGCGTGGTGGTGCGTGCCTGTACCAGCTACTTGGGAAGCTGAGTTGAGAGGATCCCCTAAAGTCAGGAAGGTCAAGGCTGTGGTGAGCCGTGATCATGCCACTGCTCTCCACCCTGGGTGACAGAGAAAGGCCTCTCTCTCCAAAAGAAAAAAAAAAAAAAAGATGAATGGGATTAGTGGGAAAAGAGGTGTGTGTGTGTGTCACACTCAGCTTGTTTGTCTTGATGGGGTCACTGAAGTTTGAGACCCCTGTGGTAGTCCACCCATCCACAGTCTTCTCCCTGGTGTTCTAGCTAATTCAATTTATATGATGCCTTTTTCTTGAGGGATCACAGCATTCCTGTGAAGTTGTATTTAGGGGAAGGGGAGGAAAAACCAATGTAAATACTTGGTTTTAGAAGTCCAGCCAGAGTATACCCTCAAATTCAAGTGTGGCCTATTTTGAATCATGTAGCTATAACTGTAGTACCATAAAAAGCAAAAGTTTAGAATCTTTGTGTCCAAGTTCTCTGGACATATGCATAAGAGTATGTTTCATTTCAGCAATTCCAGCTCTCTAAGGAAAAACTCTCTGTTTTTCTTTCTTTGCCTTTCAGAACCAGGAGAGAAAGCACAGGACGTATGTCTATGTGCTCATTGTCACTGAAGTGCTGGAAGACTGGGAAGATTCAGTTAACATTGGTAAGCCATCACCAGACAGCCTGGAAAGGGCTCCTCACAGCCAGCTCTTGCCATGCGACAGGTCATTACCAGAACCAGAAACAAGAGCTTGCCAGGCTCAGTGGCTCACACCTGTAATCCCAGTACTTTGGGAGGCCAACACAGGACGATCACCTGAGCCCAGAACTTTGAAACCAGTTTGGGCAACCTAGTAAGACCTCATCTCTGCAAAAAAAAAGAACAATTATGGGCGAGGTGGCACATGCCTGTGGTCCCAGCTTCTCAGGAGCCTGAGGCAGGAAGATCATTGAGCTTGGGAGGTTGAGGTCACATTGAGCCATAATCATGCAACTGCACTCCAGCCTGGGCAACAGAGTGAGATCTTGTCTCAAAAAAAAAAAAAAAAAAAAAAAGAGCCAGATAAAGATTAGAAATAATTGAAAGATACTGCTAATAAACAAGTATGTACATTTTGAACTTAATAGTATTTTGAAATGTTTCAATGGAGTCTGGAGTACATGGTCCACAAATAGAAGTATGACTCCTAAAAATAAGAAATGTTGCTTCTAAAATCAAACTGGATCCTTCTCAAAAGGGCTATACTTCTGTACCTCTTGACCAGATACTGATTGAGAGCCTCTGCCGTACCAGGCTCATTGCTGGCCATGGGACCATAGGTGAGAGCAGGACCTTGGTCTTATTCCTCACGACATTCGTAGTGTTGAGGAAACTGTTGGTTTCGTGGTTTGAGTCCCTCCAGAAATCATTCAGTAGATGCAGAAAGTGCAGGTAGTTTCTGGTTTTATTCATATAAAATATGAATATATATTTTTATATTTTTTCATATTTTACATGAACATAAAAAATCATAAAATTTGTGAAATTTTATAAAAGGGTGCTGGGTGCGCTCTTTAGGTACATCCATTCTCCCAAAGGAGCCATTTTCTTTGATCTCATACGGCTATTACATTTACATCTTTTGAACTGTAAACTCTGGTGGTACAAAGGTTGGTTCACAGTTTGTTTACGTCTGAAGGAAAGTATGTTCTAGAAAGAACACTAATTTCCATTGGACAGATAAAATGTACTTGCTAAAATTCTCCCTTTATTGTTAGTGTTTGCCCTGCCACCATGCCCCTCACATTGTTACTCTGAGCAGTTCGTAGCCCTTTGGCTTTGTGTCTAGTAATACTGCAGGGTGCTCAAGGAAATAAATTCACTGTGGGTATACTGAAAACAGACTCCCTGACAGCTGTGCTAGTGCCTGAAAAGGAGACAATGGATGTGTGGTCTGGCCCTATCCTCAGAGCACTCTCTGGCAGGCAGGAGTCACACACTTGTGATACTAATTTTTTTAGGTACCATTGCTGTATTAATATCCAAACAAGCCTTTCACCTTGTACTCCCACTTCTGAGAATTGGGAGTACAATTCTCAGAAGTGGGAGTACAAAGTGAAAGGCTTGTTTGGATGAAATTAATGAAATAATCTAAAATATGACAAACAGGCCCATTGGAGCCTTCCTTCAGATGATCTTACTACCATTACTCTTACTGGTTAAAAGTTGCATCTTAAATGTATAGCTCATTGTGGATGCTTGATTAGTAAAAAAAAAAAAAAAAGAAAAAGAAAAAGAATAAATTAAAAAATGTATAACTCAGTGAATGACAAATAATGAATGACATGCGTCTGATGGAATGTTGTTAAACACCATAGTTATACAGCTGTTAAACACCATAGTTATAAAAGTTACATGCAGCCAGACGTAATGGCTCACACCTGCAATTCCAGCACTTTGCAATACCAAGGCAGGTAGATCACCTGAGGTCAGGCGTTCGAGACCAGCCTGGCCAACATGGGGAAACCCTGTCTCTACTAAAAATACAAAAATTACCCAGGCATGATGGCAGGCACCTGTAATCCCAGCTACTCAGCAGGCTGAGGCACGAGAATCGCTTGAGCCTGGGTGGCAGAGGTTGCAGTGAGCCAGGTCACACCACTGCATTCCAGCCTGGGTGACAGAATGAGACTCTGTCTCAAAAGTAATAATAATAAAAATCACAGGCAATTGAGGTCCAGTGATATGGAAATGGTTAAATGAACGATAGTACATCCATGCTAGATATTACGACAACGCAGCCACATGTCTTTAAAAAAAAAAAGTCTCATTCTGTTGTCCAGACTGGAGTGCAGTGGCATGATCACAGCTCGCTGCAGCCTCAACCTCCTGGGCTCAAGGAGACCTCCTGCCTTAGCCCCACTAGCAATGGCAATGTCACATTTTTTTCATAACATAGATTGCTTAAAACATAGTGTGAAATAGGACAGGCGTGGTGGCTCATGCCTGTAATTCCAAGCATTTTGGGAGGCCAAGGCAGGAGGATCACTTGAGGCCAGGAATTTGAGACCCCATTTATACCCCCCGAAAAAAAAAAGAACAAGAAGGTGTGGCATGTGCCTGTAGTCCTAGCTACTTGGGAGGCTGGTTCAGGAAGATCCCTCAAGTCTGGGAGCTTGAGTTTGCAGTGAACTATGATTGTATCCTTGCAGTCCAGTCTGTGAGACCCTGTGTCTTGGGGCGGCGGGGAGGGGGCGGGAATAAGGCCGGGCGCGGTGGCTCAAGCCTGTAATCCCAGCACTTTGGGAGGCCGAGGGGGGTGGATCACGAGGTCAAGAGATCGAGACCAACCTGGTCAACATGGTGAAACCCCATCTCTACTAAAAATACAAAAAATGAGCTGGGCATGGTGGTGTGTGCCTATAATCCCAGCTACTCAGGAGGCTGAGGCAGGAGAATTGCCTGAACCCAGGAGGCGGAGGTTGCGGTGAGCCGAGATCGTGCCATTGCACTCCAGCCTGGGTAACAAGAGCGAAACTCCGTCTCAAAAAAAAAAAAAAAGAAAGAAAGAAAAAATAATGTGAAGTAAAAAAGAACCAGTAACAATAAATTAAAAAGCAAACTCTTAGCAGCACATACTCTGTGCCAGGTACTCTTCAGGTGCTTTTCATGTTAATCCTCATAACAAACTTGTGAGATAGGTCCTACTTATTGTCTGTTTTATAGATGAGGAAAATGAAGCAGGAGCACAGCTGCCCGAGCTGGCATTTATGTGATTGGAGCCCAGCAGTGTGGCTTCAGAATCCTTGTTCCTGACTGTAACACTCTAGCAGAGCTGCTCAGGATTTGGAGCACCTGAAAGCATGATCCGAATTTAGTTGTCCCGAGATCAAGTATATGAAAAAAGGGCAATTGTGCTAGGGTATTGAGAATGGTCTTTTCTGGTTTATAAGATTATGGGTACTTACTACTTTTATAAGAGAAAAAATATAAAGGATTTAAAAAACACACATTTTAAAAGAGTAAGAAAATAGACTGAAAAGTATAAGACTGTATTGAGACTTTTTCATTTAAAAATATTTTGTTATGTAATAAATCACTCTTATAAGAAAACTTTTAAATAAGTTATTGATTACAAACTAGCCATTCTAGTAATTCTGAAAGCTGTTGCTCGTGTTGATTCCCCCCACCTTGGGACAGGGTCTCACTCTGTCACCGTGCTGGAGTGCAGTGGCTCGATCACAGCTCACTGCAGCCTCAACCTCCTGGGCTCAGGTGTTCCTCACATCTCAGCCTCCTGGGTAGCTGGGACTACATGATTGTACCACCACACCCAGCTAATTTTTGTATTTTTTGTAGAGACAGAGTTTTGCCATGTTGCTCAGGCTGATCTCAAATTCCTGGGCTCAAGCAGTCTGCCGAGCTCAGCCTCCCTAAGTGCTGGGATTACAGGCATGAGCCACTGCACCCCACCCTCATGTCAGTTTTTACAGGAGATAGGGATGTTGCTGGGCTTTGGCTCCTAATGTATATGCAAGCAAGGAAACCAGGAGGGTGGGAGGAAAACACTAGCCATAGTTTCCTCTGGAGGACAGGTTTTACACAGTTAGTCTTAGCTCTTCAGTTTCCAGGGTTCTCACTATTTTCTACATTAGACATTGATGTCACATTTGAAGCATATGAAGTGTGCTTGCATTACTTTTATAAGAAAAAAAGTGTTTAGAGGCATCGCTTTAATGTTTTTCTACTACATTTTCTCAAAAGTTCTAGGCTTAGAAACTTTATTGCTCTTCTACTAGTTTCTTTTCTCTCTGCCTCCACAGGAAGGAAGAGGGAATGGTTTAAAATAGAAGATGCCATAAAAGTGCTGCAGTATCACAAACCCGTGCAGGCGTCATATTTTGAAACATTGAGGCAAGGCTACTCAGCCAACAATGGCACCCCAGTCGTGGCCACCACGTACTCAGTTTCTGCTCAGAGCTCGATGTCAGGCATCAGATGACTGAAGACTTCCTGTAAGAGAAATGGAAATTGGAAACTAGACTGAAGTGCAGATCTTCCCTCTCACCCTGGCTCTTTCCACTTCTCCTCACAGGCCTCTTCTTTCAAATAGGCATGATGGGCAGCAGAGAAAGGGTATATTGATAATGTTGCTGTTTGGTGTTAAGTGATGGGGCTTTTTCTTCTCTTTTTATTGAGGGGTGGGGGTTGGGTGTGTAATTTGTAAGTACTTTTGTGCATGATCTGTCCCTTCCTCCTCCCATCCCTGCAGTCCTCTGAAGAGAGGCCAACAGCCTTCCCCTGCCTTGGATTCTGAAGTGTTCCTGTTTGTCTTATCCTAGCCCTGGCCAGACATTTTTCTTTGATTTTTAATTTTTTTTTTTATTAAAAGATACCAGTATGAGATGATAACCTTTCAAGAATTTGTCCTATAATATGCTGTACAGTTGAGTAGGGTGGTCGCTTTCATTGCAGGATACATTTATCTACACATTATATATTGGACATATAATATGTAAATAAATGACTTCTAGAAAGAGAAATTTAACTGTTTAATTTTTTAAGGTTTTTTTCTCTTTTAATTTGGGCATTTCTGGAATTGAGAGCCTTAGAGTTAATACAGCTTTTTGTTTTTGATGCTAGTAGCTGGGGAGGTTACCCTGTCCTCTTTCCGTTTCCTAGCCATCGACTGTAGTTACATAGGTATGGGAAGAGTTTAGCTACCTTCATAGTGCTCCCAGGATTCATGGCCTTTCCTTCTTTATGCTGTATTTCCATGCCAAGAAGGAAACCAGAAGAAACTTTTTTTTTGTTTGTTTTTTGTTTTTTTTTAAAGCAAGCTATGAGCAAATGGCCTCAGCCCAGATCTGGAAAAACAATGATAGAAATTGAATTCTGCCCCACATGTTGACAGTAGGGTAAACTGGATTCTTGGGGTTATTTATCTAAAAAACTGGAGCTCAGGCACTGTTTCTGTCCTGCTGATTTGGAACCTTTTCCGTAATGCTACTTATTGCCAACAATAGCCTCTCTTCCTGTCCATATATGCCTTATGCTGTGCTGACCTGGATATCATCCTTGTACTCTGAAGCATCCAACTATACTTTGCAGGTGCATCAATGCAGTCCTGTCCCCACACTGGGTAACCGTGTTCCTGAAAAGTATGTGGGAGAAATTCAGGTGCTTGCTTGTCTTTGTAATGGTGCGGCACTTGTGATTGCATCATGGAGCATGCTCAGAGCTATTAAATTGGTCTCCCATCTCCCACCAGGATGTGAAAGGTCCACATGAGAAGCCACGTAATCATTTATTAGAGTGGCTACATAATACACTGGCTTACTGCAGACTCTCTTGTTGGTTTTTTATACAGGTTTCATGCTGGCTTCATTTGCAAGTTGTGGTGTTTGGTTGGGAAGTAAGAGGGTCTTGAGATTGAGGGATAAAAAGGGGTACACTCACTGATCCCTGGCTTAGGACAGGAGATTGTCTCAGTACTCCAGTGGCATCTCCTTAGCCAAGATGTGAAATTAAAATCATAGTTCACCTTATTTAAAAATTCCAATAAAGCACTCAAACTTAGAAAAGCTTTTACTTTTCCGTCCCACTAAAAGAAATGTGTCTTGTAGCCCTGTGTCACTTTGTGTTCAGCACTTTTGGTAACATCATTTGGTGAACTTTAAATTTTGCTCTCTACTCTTAGTTTATATCCTCTCTCCCAGTCTTGAAACACAGGGCCAAAGAGCAATTGTAATCTTGGGATCCCATGATACCTCTAGGAAAGGAATTACATCCCCAGAGAAAGGTCCCATTGGATAAGAACAGCACCGTGGGGCTTGAGTCTGAATGCCAACTTGCTATACACACATTCTTCTTAAAAATGAACACACTGTTTCTTATCCTCACTTAAAGCATTCTAAAGTTCTGTTCAAATAAATAAAGGGGAAAATAAAGTAGATTTAACCACATGCTAAATGAAATTCAAGAAAACACATTGTTCCAGATAAATTCTACCTTTATGGTTATGGATTTGAAAGTATTTTGCAGGAAAATAGTCAGTACTCTTTAAAAAGGATCTACAGGGCCAGGTGCAGTGGCTCACGCCTGTAATCCTAGCACTTTGAGAGGCCAAGGCAGGTGGATCACTTGAGGCCAGGAGTTGGAGACCAGCCTGGCCAACATGATGAAACCCCGTCTCTAGTAGAAATACAAAAATGAGCTGGATGTGATGGTGCACACCTGTAATCCCAGCTAGCCATGGGAGGCTGAGCCATGGGAATTGTTTGAACCTGGGAGGTGAAGGTTGCAGTGAGCCAAGATCATGCCACTGCACTCCAGCCTGGGCAACAGCGAGACTCTGTCTCAGTAAATAAATAACAAAACAAAACAGAACTGCAGTACTAACAGTAATTTTTACATTTTTTTAATGATCTGAGTATGTTTTGACTGGGCTAATGTTAACAATATACTTCCCCAAAAGTGTAGTTTTGATTGTTGTTGGTGTCTTTGAGTCAGGAAAGTGAATTGTGCCAACAAGTATTGTTTAGTGACATGAATGGATTCCTATTAATGCAATTAACTGGAGAGATTGTGCTGATGCTTTCTTAACTGACAAAAGGAGGCTTTGTCCAACATCAGAATTGTTGAAACTGGTGTTGTTTTCTGTCGCACTGGGATTCTGGTGATCTGGGAGTGGTGTTTTTCCTCCCTGGTACCATAAATACCATGGCTGTCTTTACCGATGTCATCATAGTCCTTTAGTGATAGATTAGTTAGAACCATGGTTGCAATACCTTTATGTCCCCCAAAGAACAGAAGCAAAAGCATAAAAACTACCCTATTTGCAGAATATTTCATTGACATTGATTTGTCATTAATTCTGCCAGTGCTGATCTCATTCAGGCTTGGTAGAAACAGGTTCCTGTGTTTAGGGCAGATCCCTAGCCTCTCGCTTACAGTGAATTTGCATGTCCTAGATTCTGGTTATTACTAGAGCATCCATTAAAGTCTGCCAAACTCAGGACAGAAAAAGATAGCAGTGGACTTAAAATTTTCTTTAGTTTATAAATTACAGCCAGTGGGGAAACACTAATAGGTCATGTGATCTTACGGACCAGGATTTTCTCTGTCTCTCCCCTTGGGTGTGTGTGGGTGCGTGTGTATGAGACGAGGGCTGCCAGGAGGTAGCAACCACGTTAGATTTTCTGTAGCCTTCCAGAAACACTGCAGCCCATGAAACGGGAATCTTGATTTTGCTCATAACAAACATAACAGGATGGAACAGTTAGTGGATTGACTGTGTTTTGTTTTCACAAGTGTCCACCACTCCATCTGCCCTGCATGGAGAGGGCTCTCACTGCTAGGTCTAGGCTGAGCCATCTGGAAGGATCAAAGGGTGTGGGAGTCTCACCCGCTCTCAGTCTGCAGAAGGTCTGGAGGGTGGCAGCACAGCAGGACTTCCGCCTTCTGCATTGCGCTGCACAGCCCCATGGAACAGTGAGGCCCTTGGGGCCTTGCTTCTTGCAGCCTCTGGGGAGCAGAGTAGGTCACTGCCCTCTGGGGGTGTTTTGCAGTAGTTTTGTAAATGTGTTGCTACATAGTCAAGTTCCTTTGTGGCAAAGAAATATTTTGTTTTGTTCTTAGGAGTCAGCCCATGTAATGCCTCTTAGGCTTTCTTGCTTAGAAGAAAAAAGTCACCCTTTGTGGTTTTTAAAAGAAGAAGAAAGTTCTGTGCCGATTTGTTCATCCTCCTCCTTCCGCTTCCCTTTTCTCCACATGCAGTCCTCATTGGAGGCTCCTGCCAAACCTTCTTAACCAGAGAAGTAATAGGTATTTGTTAGACCTGGGTGTATGTTTCGCATTATCCTTCACATATTTCACATTTTCACCTAGTACTTTATTATTGCCTTTGTTGAAGTCCCCATCCTCATCTTAAAAAACAACAGCTTAGCCTAAGCCACATTTACTTTTTTTAGTTCACAAAAAGAATTTAATAGCCACAGTGTGATTTTTGCCACAGCTGTGTGATTTTAATATTCTCTGTTATCGAGGGTGGATTTAGAATTGCAGGAAATACCTGGAGAAATCACAGTGGGATGAATTTTTGCTTTAAGAGAAATAAGAGTTAGCTGTAATTGATAACATGGCTTCATCCTAGTCCCATCTGCATTTCAGAAAATAACCCACGTCTTTATAAAACAGAGGAGACTTATGGGACAGTTAAGCAGGTATGGGGAGGGAGAGTATTATTTAATGGTGATTAAATAATGCAGATGGCCCTTCCGGTTCTTAGGTTTTTTTTTGGTTGTTGTTGTTGTTTATCTGTTACTATTTATTGACATCAAAACGGTAAGCTGAGACTAAAAGTTGCTATTTAACATGAATAGACATTGGTGCAGTTTCCTTCCTGGAGACGGTATGCACTCAGATCATGAGACCTAAGATCAAACACACACTGAATAGTCAAGAATCAAACAAGGACTACATTTTACCTCTTAGTAGAAAAGATGCTGAAGACAAAACGAGATGTTTAAAAATATTCTTTATGCTAAGCTCATGTAAGCAAACAAAAAAACTAAAACTAAATCTAAAACTTTAGGACATTGGATTCAGAATAACATTAACTATTTAAATTTTTGCATCAACAAAAGTATGATCTATCCTTCCCTGTACTTGTACTACAAGGACATGCTTGTTGTTTCTACAATACACAAAGTCAACAGTTATCATCAACAGTGAAATAGAACTAGACCGGAACAAAGCTTCAAAGCGACTCTGCTCCACCCAAATTAAGAAAATTCAATTCAGGACGAACAACAGCTTTTGATTTAGAACCAGCTCGCTCTTTTCTCTCGTGTCACACGTGATAAAGTCCTCACTTGATATTCCCCCCTGCAAATTGCACTGCATGTCCTCGCCATCACGTTTTTCTGACACTTTAAAAGTAATTTGTAGAAACTGCAAAAGCAATGAAATTGTACTTCCAATTCTGAACCTCTGATCATATTCCTGCTTTGACACAAGACTAACTCCTCTGCAGTGTACCCCACCAGCACGGCGACCCCCTTTGTCTCTATTCCTTTGCCCTGAAGGTACTTCTGGATTGCTTAACGTGTGCTCTTTGGCTGCCTAGACAGTCAGGACACCTAAGGCCATCCGTACTTAACACCTCTCCTCCTCCTTTTCTATGACTAATACCGCTTTGCTGCTTCCTTTCTGCTGGAATCACCAGACTTGGTGCTGTCATCAGGGGGACAGAGTCGATTTCGGCTTCCAGCTCCTGGTTGGTAAAGCTGCATCGCTGGACGATCCTTGTTTCTTATTCAATCTTTCTTGACCACTTCTTTCTTTTCAGTTTTTTCTGAGCTTCCTATTGATTCTGTACTTTCGGCCTTCTTTCCTTTATCCCGAAGTATTTCTTTCTCCTTTTTCATTTCTTCTTTTCTCTTTTTTTTTTTTGAGGTGGAGTTTGGCTCTTGTTACCCAGGCTGGAGTGCAATGGCGCAATCTCGGCTCACCGCAACCTCCGCCTCCTGGGTTCAGGCAATTCTCCTGTCTCAGCCTCCTGAGTAGCTGGGATTATAGGCACGCGCCACCACGCCCAGCTAATTTTTTGTATTTTTAGTAGAGACGGGGTTTCACCATGTTGACCAGGATGGTCTCGATCTCTCGACCTCGTGATCCACCCGCCTCGGCCTCCCAGAGTGCTGGGATTACAGGCTTGAGCCACCGCGCCCGGCCTCTTCTTTTCTCTTAAAAGTCTTCTCCTTCTCATAGGATTCCTTCTGCCTACGGCGCTCTTCTCGCCACTTCAGCCTCTCTCTTTCTCGAAGTATGTGCTCCTGATCTCATTCATAATCCTGTTCCCTCTCCCTGTAGTCTCTGCTGCTCTCATCTTCAGGTCTCTTTGGTTTTTCATCTTTAAATTCTCTGTCAGAACGCTTGGGCAGTGTACAGCTTTGCCCACTGGCTCTTTCATCACTGAGATTCTCTGTCCAATTTCTTGGCTGTTGTTTTTCATCCCTTTTTCTGGCGTCTTGAGCAGCTTAATCTTTGGTTCATCCTTTAATTTGTCCCTTTCTGGAATTCTATCTTATCTTCTTTAGCTTTTCTATATCTTTTCTTTTTCGTTTCTCCTCCTCTTTCCATTTCCTCCTCTCTTCTTCTCTTTGCCTTTTTCTGTTTTTCTCCTCCTTCTTTCTTCTCTCTTTTCTGCTCTCATTCTCTGCTAGTTTTTCAGGAAGCCCAAAAGTGGGGTTGTCTTTTTGGCTATTAATTCTCTGTGTTTTGCTTCTGTTTCCTCTCACAGTGTCTCTGGAGTACATGTCGTTTTCCCATCATCCGTGGCGTTACTTTCCATATTGTGGATCATCATCAGTAGTCCTGACTTTGGTATCTCTTTTCTTAGTCTTCTTTTTTTTTTGCAGCTTTTTGAACAGGTGCAAATTCTACCATAGCAGGATATTCCTGACCATTATTGTCAAGGAATACATAACCATCAAAGTGATCCCTGAGTAAAATAACGTCCTCTTGGTTTTTAAAGTTGATGTATGCTCTGGCATACATATGAGGATACAGACACGTATCATTAGAAAAAAACTCAAAATAATCATGTTCAGGCATGGGTCGAAGATGTTCCTGAAGCTGCTCCTTGGTCAAAGTGGGAGGTAATCTTCAAATTACCACCTTGCTCAGCACCTCTTTGTTCTCCTTGTTGCGATCCTGTTTATCTTCCCCCTTGGAACTGTCCCCCGAAGTCCCACCGTCCCACCACCGCTGCCTGTGGCTCCAGGGGGCGTTAACAGGGTTACTCACTTCTCCTTGGGCCTGCGCTCCTTCTCTTCCTTCATGGCTACATCTGTCACAGAGGCGGCTCTGTCGCAACGCGTTACACTGGGCACCAGCGGCTCTGGTTCTTAGTTGTAAAGACTGTGGAAGAGGTCAGACTCGCGGCTCTGCAGTTCAGACTAGGCAGGTGACGTGGCACTCATTTATTCTGAGCCTGCTAGATAGAGCCTGTCTCCTCATGGCTGCAAAGGCTTCCAGGACATGTAGCTGTCCATGTTAGTGGCTCAGCCTTGCCTCCATCCGGGCACCCACCTAACCTGGAGCAGGTGAGAGCACCCCAGAGCCATCCTCCATGCTCTGTGGTGAGTTTTGCAGTGGAGACTTACTTCACCATCCAGGGTAGCTGTGTTTCTGTGTCACTTGAGATACCACCTAAAAATGAAACGTTTGAGATTTTAAGGTTAAAAAAAAAGTAGTGCTCGCTTCGGCAGCACCTATACTAAAATTGGAACGATACACAGAAGATTAGCATGGCCCCTGCGCACAGATGACACACAAATTCGTGAAGCCTTCCATAAATAAATTAAAAAAAAAAGTAAATCGGGAGCATTGGCTGCAATCCCTAAAAGATACTGTTGTCTGTGCATCAGCTGGCTTGAGGTCACCACAGGTCCTAGGAGCCCAGAAAGTCTAGGCATGCTGTCCTTCAGAGGCCAGCAGCCTTTCACAAACCCTGCCTCTAAAAGGGCGGTTTTGCATTTGACCATGTTTTTGCAGTTAGCCTCAGAAACTCTTGTCTTTAGCTGATAACCTTTCAGTGATGTGAGAAGCCTACTTGGAGCATCTGAGAAAATGATACCTCTCACCTTCAGATTAACCAGTTTGTCTTCCTAGTTCTCTTAAAAATTAATAAATAGGAAGGGAATCCTATTTTTTTTTTCTTTCTTTTTTTTTGAGACGGAGTTTCGTTCTTGTTACCCAGGCTGGAGTGCAATGGCGCGATCTCGACTCACCGCAACCTCCGCCTCCTGGGTTCAGGCAGTTCTCCTGCCTCAGCCTCCTGAGTATCTGGGATTACAGGCACGCGCCACCATGCCCAGCTAATTTTTTTGGATTTTTAGTAGAGACGGGGTTTTACCATGTTGACCAGGATGGTCTCGATCTCTTGACCTTGTGATCCACTCGCCTCGGCCTGCCAAAGTGCTGAGATCACAGGCTGAGCCACCGCGCCCGGCCTGGGAATCCTATTTTGTGATGATCTGGGCACACTACTTGAGCTGAGGCTGGTGGTCACATGATTTTCACTGTCTCTGACATGAAGCTTTTGAAGTGAGAGTCATGTCTCTTCCCTGAAGCTTTGTTTACAGTGATAATTTGCTGAGTTTGAGCTTGTCTTAGAAAATAAGACTGTCCACCTGGGAAGGGGAGCTTATAAGGAAGCCATGTTAACTCAGAATGCTGAAGAAAGGGCTTTTGGCCAAAAAAGTAAGATTAATATCTAGAAGGTGAAAAGCAGTCATTGGCTTCTGTTCCTCTAGCAGTTGATGGTTTAATAACTCTAGGTTTCCTTTGGTTTATATCCCCAGTTCTTAATACTAAAACTTACTTGACTTCCTATCAGGAAGCACATACACAAAAAAAGCACCATTTAAAACCCTGGATATAGACATTTAAGGATACAACAGCAGCAGCATTGCTGTTTGGCCAGGTTCATCACCATTCTGATGTGCTGCCCATGCTTCCACCCTCCCTTTCCTGCCCACTGAGCCCCGCCCCCCAGCCAGGCCAGATGTGAAGATTCTATTAATCATTGATTCAGAGAACATTAATTCTTGTCTGGAATAATTAGCTACTAAATTGCTTGTTATATGACTGTACCTTTCAGACAACATCTCAACATTACAGTGAAGTAGCTCTCCTGGACTTGAGCTTCCAGCCAGGCATTTAGTTCAAACTCTTAAGCCTTTGCGGAATTCCTTAGGAAAAAAAGCAAGATGCCTCAGTGCCAGTGCTGGGCCTTAAGACTGTACTTCCCCTCTCTGTTGGGCGGGGCTCGTGGCTCAGCTTTGGGAAATCATTTTGCCAGTAAGATTGCCTGTGAATCCCTTTGAGAAGTCATCCCGATCTGAGCCTGTCTTCTGAGCACTTTGGTGCTGAATTGAAAATGGTAAGCTAAAGCAGTGACTGATCCACATAGCCTCTTTAACCTCTGTCTTGCCGGAAAAAAAAAACCTTCCCAGGTTAATAAACTTTGGTCTTTAACCTCCCTTTGTTGTGGAGAAAATGTGTCACGAATTAATGGTCCAAAGGATATCCAGTTTTGTTTACTCAGTCCAGCAGCAAAACAGATAGGACTTACGCCAGGGAATTTACAGGCTGATTATGAAGACACCCATGAGCAGGAATAAGAAGGATAGGTGTGCTCCACACAGAACCTCCCCAGATCTGAAGGTAAGTCTTGGAGAGCTTCCAAAAGGCTGAAGTAAAAAGGAGACTTGAAGGGCCTTAGCTTAGTGAGCAAGAGGCTTGTGTCCTCCCAAGAACATGAAGGAGTTCAGAAGGGAGTAACAGGTACCTAAGCTAGAGGTCACAGACGCACCTGCCCGCTCACCCTGTGTGACTGAGAACATTTTTGCTCTGAATTTTCCAAGGGGTCTCTCCCTTCAAAAATCCAATTTACTACCAGAATTTTGTTTCGCCTCTGAGAATCTCACCCTTTCACTTCCATCTGTGAATGGACATGGATGTGTTGCCCAGGGAACAGAAACATCAGCGTCCAGGGCCCAGTGGCATGGCGTTACGTTAGTAGTTAGGAAAGCAGTCAGCCAACTCAACTGTAAAGGAAATGAGTGTGTAGTACAGTTTGTAAATGGCAGTTCTGTTCTCTTATTTTGTGATCTGATAACTGTCACACTGGTTGGTAATCAAAAGGGTGGTGGTTAGAATTTTCTAAGTAAAATTTCAGTTAGAAAAACAGCTTACCAGTTTTCCATGTGCTTTATTAAGGAAGTCAAGAGTATTTCAGGCTGTTGGGAACGGTTGTAAATGGAACTGAAGCAAGTGTTTCTCACCCTCTTAGGTGTAGCGGAGAGAGGAGTGGAGGGCCAGCAGTAACTTTTGCCAACCCAGCCTCCATTTCAAAGACTTCTGTCTTCTCTCCTATCCAATGACGTGGTCAGGGATGGGCTCTGAGGAGGCAGTGAGGCCCCGCCTTGGTTTGCTCAGCTGCGGTGTGTGGTCTCCAAACAGGGTTTTTAAGGAGTTTCTCACATGAGCACCTTCACTTCACTCATCTACCAGCAGCAGCAGGAATGTTAACATCCCTGGGACCATTTGCGTTTTTAAAGCGATAAACCGTTAACAGGTGTACCATCCAGATACAGTCTCCTCTTGGACAGGTTCAACAGGTGTTTCCAGGGATCCCTGTGGGTTGAGAGGCAAAGTAGCCGAGATTTGTTTTTCCAGAGGACAAAAGTATTTCTTGTCCCTTTTCCCTCATACTCATATGTTTTAGCTGAGGCTTAAACAGCCAAGTTGAGTAATGTCTCTGGAACTGAGACAGCCAGGGGCCCATGTACCCAGGGACCAGTCCCCTGGGGAATCACACAGTGGCTCAGGCTAGACTGCTGTATCCCACCGGAACTCTGCTGCTATTCCTTTCCATCGGGACCACCCAGGAAAGCAAGTAAGTTAGCTTCTCATCACTAGGTCACCTGCTCCCTTGGGCTGCAGGATGAGAGCATATATGGATCTCCTGTTGAGACTGTTCATAATGGTAGAAATGGGTAGAAAACAGAACAACCAAGAGGCTGAGTCATTATTGAAGAGGATGGTAAGGACCCCAAATGAGCTCAACAAAACTGGGAATCCAAAGAATGGTGCTGATAAGGAAAGAGGTCAGTTGTGGTCCTAAAGCCTCTGGACATCTGGCGTGGGTTTTGAAACAAAGAGCTAGAGTAAAATTGCCCTTACCCCCAGTCCAAACGCTCTCCAGGATTTAGGAGGTACCCAACCCGTGGGTAAATGGTCTTGGTTTCCGTTTTTGGTTTGTTTGCTTTTTTCCAAAACAACCTTGCTTGGTACTGCATGGAAAGTCAAGCTTTTCTTCCAGCCTGCTTGGGACCACCTGTCTGGGCTGGCCTCTTCCCTTTGTCTTCACAGCATTTCTAAGGAAGATTTTTGCTCTCTGGAGCTGAGGGTAGTGGAATTTGGTCCAGAGAAGGCGGAAGGAAATCGTTTTCCTCTTTTTCTCAAGGCGGATATTCTCAGGCTTCCTTCACACCTCCTTCCCATGGGTGCGGCTGGCAGGTTGTGGAGGAGGGCTGAGAAGAAAGGGGTACCAGTCCAGCCCCAGGTTTGGTCCAAGTCAGGTACACCGCAGATACCATCCCACCGTCCTCTCAACAGCAGGCCAGCCACACGTATAACCCTCTCCCTACTTTACTAATGTGTCCCTTATGTGGTACCAGCATCGGGGGCCAGGCAGACTTACCCCCTGCAGTCTAGAGAGAATGTTGTTAGTACCCGTAAAACTTGACCACCCCCACATCCCACTCCTTTTTGTAAAAACAAATGCTTAAACCTGTGAGCCTGCCTTTCCTTTCTATGTGTTAATGAGTTTCCTTCCATTTGAGCTGTGTGGGAGGGAAGGGCATTGAAACGAGGTTGTAATCTTGTGCCAACCAATAAAAACCAGTATTTCACACACATCCCTTTTAGTGTCTGGTCTCTTCTTTCCAGAGGTTTCCCTTGAGTCCTTCATGTCAGTCCTGGTTTCCCCACTCCTCTGCTGGATTCTTGGGAATTGCCCCAGAAGTCAAGGGTGGCCCCGTGGAAGATGTGGTGTGCAGGGCATTCAGGGGAGAAATGCAATGGAGAAGCCAGAGATGGTTAGATGGCATTTTGTTTTACCTTGCCGTCCTTGCTACCGGGTGCCCAGAGAGAGCCCTAGTTAAGACAATCAGTGCCCCGTGCTAAGGAGAGGGCCTGTCGCCCTTAGCCAAGGAGGCTTTATAGGGGGCCCAAAGGAACTGGAAGGGGAAAGAAGTGAGCCGCATCCAGAATAAGGAAGCATCACAAGAAGCTGCTTTCCTCTGTGTGGGGTGGAATCAGGAAGGGTGGAGCCTTTTTTTTTTTTTTTTTTTTTTTTTTTTTTTTGAGACGGAGTTTTGCTCTTGTTACCCAGGCTGGAGTGCAATGGCGCAATCTCGGCTCACCGCAACCTCCGCCTCCCAGGTTCAGGCAATTCTCCTGCCTCAGCCTCCTGAGTAGCTGGGATTACAGGCACGCACCACCATGCCCAGCTAATTTTTTGTATTTTTAGTAGAGACGGGGTTTCACCTTGTTGGCCAGGACAGTCTTGATTTCTCGACCTCGTGATCCACCCGTCTCGGCCTCCCGAAGTGCTGGGATTACAGGCTTGAGCCACCGCGCCCGACAGGTGGAGCCATTTTTTGAAGCTGTGTAGTGGTAGGGCTTGCAGGCAGAGAGTGGGTGGTCCTCAGCACTGGGAGGGCAGGATTAAGTGAGCTGTGTCCCGTGGTCCCAAAAGGAAGGAACAGTTGGAGCTGTAATGGAAAATA